TTAATGATACCCTTTGTAAACAATTGCAGTAGGTTCAGAAAATATAATGAATAGGTTTGGCCTAATTGTTGTATTATTATTATTTTTGTTGTTGTCTTATTGTTTTATTGTTTTAAAATGTATGTATATATGCACAAATCAAATGAGTCATATTGCCATGTAATGATACCGATGCATCTTAATTTGTGAATTTGTAAATTTGTAATTTAAATAAATGTGATAGATTACAAATACAAAGTTAATAATGCATTTCCACTAATCACAATTTGACATTCAAGCGAGACGGCCTTACGTTTTAAAGTCTAAAACATCAAAGTTCATACAAAATGCTTACAAACATATATAAGTATATGTATGTATGTATCTATAGATATATATATATATATTCATAGCTATATATACTATAAATATTTGTTAATATCGACAGACGTATCTGACTGTCTCAGCCATTGCTCAAGTATAAAAGCAAACTTCGCTGGAATCGTCGTCAGTTTGTTAAAGATATTTCGCTACTTCACAACGAGTTGCTCTCGAATCTGTTCAATTTGCTTGTCGCTGTTGTTATTGTTGTTATTTAAGGTTAATATTACTACCGAAAAAAACATTAAAAAAAAAAAAAAAATGTAAACCGGCCAAACAAAAGGCTATATTTGAATTTCAATTAGATCGTTTTTCGATTGTGTTGTTTATATTGTTGTTATTCGAATTTTCGTTGTGCAATGCTTGACTTAGTTTCAATATCAATTTTACTTAGTATACAAATTATGCATATATGCATATATATGTATGTCAATATATATCCATAACTTGTATACGTTAACTACTTGAGTAAATGTATTAATATGCATATGTATGTATGTTTATATATGCTGTTCATATACATACATACATTTGTATCTATGAGTATATCTATCTACTCGGCAAGTTAAAGTAATTAAGTAAGCCGTTAATGAGGCTTAGCCATGTTAGTAACTAAAATAAAAAGAAGTCAACAGAGCACTTATAGACACTCATTAAACTCTGA